AATAAGATTCATGCTATATAAAATACATTCATTAATTTTAGCTCAAAGTTCAAATACAGCTTTAGTCATATTAGTAAAGTAAATTAAATCATTCATTGTGAATTATTATTTTGTCTCATTTTCATGGAAAGTAGCTCGAAGGTGGTACTACTTCTTTGTTGGGAATTTACTTATTCATGCACAGAATAAAACAAATTTCAATTCTCACTAAAGATCGGTTTTGTGTTTAGATAGAAACTGTAATAGGAATTATACATTTGATGAATTCCACAAGTTCCTTTGTTTTTCTTGAATTCGAATGATCACGATCTGCAATTCAAACTATCCAATTGTCCAGCCTCCAATGGTGATCTACACAGGGAACAAGAATGACGATAGGTTTTCTTTTCTTTTACTAGTAAGAATAATGAATTTTTTCCTACTGTTTTCAAACCCTAGCAGTCTATTAATATAAGTCCAAGCGGGTTTGACCCGTCTCTTAAACTTAACCCGATCCAATATTTAATGGATCAAATTAATTAAATCTGGTCCATAAATTAATTAATTCAATTAATTAATTTGAGCCTATTAATAAGCAAACAAATTAATTAATTGTCCAACACTCGCTAATTAATTAATTGATGAATCTCATTCTTCTAGTTCTCTTTTTGTGTGTGACCCATCAGGTAGCCGATCACGATACTTAACGACGTAAATTATTATTTTGATCTAATCAAAATCGATAAATTAAAACATCTCTTTTAATTTATCACTAATTCACATTCGTCGTCCCGATTGACATCTAGCAATGTATCAGGGCAATACATGTGACGAGAAATGTCACATGGTATGATAAAACCAAATTTGTTCATTTACCGTGAAACTATAATCATTTCGTTAAGATGATCCGATCAATTACGAGATATGTATATGTGTCAATCTCAATTATCGATCATATCTTTTATCACACTGTTAAGTCAATGTAAGTCGAAAACTCCTTTTTGACTTATGATTTCACCTTGACCAATGATTTCATTACCAACTTAATTAGATAAAATGTAGATCATAATCTCTTACTATTTAAGAGTGACGAATCCTCTATGGATTATTCACAACGTTCATATGATTCTTGACATACCCGAACGATGCCGTATTAACGATCATTGGGAGAGTAACATCTAACATCACCAAAGTATGACTGTCCTCATACAAGGCACTATGATGACCTCAAGTCAAATGATCAATTTCACTACCGAACAATAGATATTAACTATTGACACTCAAATAGTTATCAATGTAGAATCTCCTCATCGGGTCTCCAATGTTTTGTTCTATAACAAAACATCCACGTGTTCATTCAAGTGTCACCACACTTTAGCTTGTGAGATCAGCTACTTACTTCACAAGTAAGAATGCCACACGCGATAGTCTATCCGTAATAACGATNCATTTAAGTGTCACGACACTTTAGCTTGTGAGATCAGCTACTTACTTCGAAAGTAAGAAATGTCACACATGATGGTCTATCCATAATAACGATATCCGTTTATTTCGACCACGAATAATTTAAGATTCAGTCATATTGTAATTTGTATTCCACAATCTCCTTGTGATTAACAAATTGCAAAAACTTAAATCTACGGACTCTATTATTTAATATAATTTCAATAGAAAATTAATTTAAATAAATAATAGATCTCGCTAGAAAAAATGCATTAAACATATTAAAAGTGTTTACAACCTAAGTCGATTTGGTCTAGGGAATAACACTTACATTCTTCTCCTATCCCTTATGCTAAAATTAAGCAAAAGTTGAGTTACGAGAATCCATTTTTGAAGAGCATCTATTTTTAAATCGTCTTATCGTCAAGTTTATTGTGAAATTGAAATCATTTGAGGTCATTTTGAAGAGAAACCTAACGTTATTAATTGATGGACTTTGCTACATATACATCCAGGATTAAATAATGTACACGTGACTAATTTCCACCAACCAAGTACATAATGCCACTTGTACATTATGTAATTTTTGATATAACATGAAATGTACAAGTGGAATAATCTTTAATGGAGAAAGTCCACTTTATAATTTGCATACAAATGTCATCCAATGAATAAAAATAGATCATCATTGCACAGGATTCCCAGTATATAAAGCCCTAATTTTGGTGGGGATTAAATCTAAATTTTAGTAGATTTTGAAAAAAGTTGATGAAATGTGTGATTAAAAATTTGTGAATCTCATTAAATATGTGATTAAAATTAATTGTTACTTTTAATTTAAATTTAAATTTATATTTTAATCCCTACCGAACATGAGCAAAATATATTCATTATGTATAAGAAGCCAACAACTAACTTGTGACCTTGTCCAAGACTTGGTCAAAAAAAAAAATGTCTAGATTTTGCAAAGATTTTAAAAGGCTAATTAGCACAAAACATCCCTACCTTTGAGGTCTATTGTGG